CTACACAGACGTGCATGCCCTAAGCGCATCAGCTTAAATAAGCATCCATGAGTCAAACATGTAATGGCAACATTATGCCAACTGTACTACTTCCAGAGTTAGTTTGTAATAAAACTACAAGTAAGCAATAAGTATAATATCCCATTTAAGGCAATACAAACACTTAACATTTTCTGAAAGCATTGCAAAAAAATGTGTTTTATTGTCTGACGTTTAAAGACTGGAGGATACACCAAATACAGCAGGGAGTGATGGAGTTGCTGGAAGTATAAAGTCCCAAACTGTCAGATTCAACTTCACCCGTACTGAGAGGCTTGAAATGGCATCCTCATCCATCATATCTACTGATCCATTATCTGAAAAAAATTCAGAAAATAGGGGAGACAGAAGAATCCTTCTTAAAGATGAAGTTGCAGATTTCACCCTTTGTACCTAAAAAATAGATGCTTACATGAACAGCCAATAATAACACCAAGGTTAAATAAGAGCATCAGAATTACCGACAGTATTTAAAAAACCTACACAAAATAACCCACCACTTCATCTAATGGTTTTCCGTCAATGGGCTCAACTATGTCAAGGCATCCCTTGAGCTCCTCAAACAACTGATGTTTCTCAGCCCTGACTAAGCTTTGAGCAGGAGACCTGCATATAGGTGAAGGTTGACAACAGCCAGCCACAAAAACTGATGAATAGAAATGTCTCATATAAAATCAAGAGTGAAGAATCATTATTTTTTTTTGGGGGGGGGGGGGGGGGGGGGCGCTCACTCATCTGCCTTCACAGCAGTTATGATAATCTCCCCCTCATAATGTCCTGGGGGTTGAGCACTTGGGACATCAATCGATAACCAAAGAACAGAAGTCTCCCTGAAGAAATGAAGACATGCCAAAAGAAAGGTTAAAAGAAGTAATTCATCCACGATTTTGTGCGCCTAGAACTTTGGAGGGGGAAAACATAGAGAAATGTTGCACTGATAAGTACCCGGGATACAGGCTCATTTGACTGACAGGAAGATCAACTGGCACAAGAGCATCAGGTACACCTAAAATAGGCACCACTCGCCGCAACTTTAAAGACTGGCCAACAACCAACCTGCCCAAACTGATGTCAGCATAAAATCACGAGACCACATATTCTATACAATATTGTGTAAGAATACATCAACCTGTCACCAGAGGTGGAACATAGGTCACTGCATTGAACCTGCACAGTTCCCACAACACCACCAGTACGACCCCAAGAAACCTTTGGTCGAATAGCTATTTGAACACTCTCCCTCTCATTTCTAGCTGCCAGCAGATTAATCTTCAACATAAAGCAAATACTAAGTCAATGCCAGCTTTGGAATAACATGACTTCTATGCATCAGCATCGTAATGCAACATACACATCCCCAGGCTTCACCATAGAATACAAGAAGATTCCAAAGATGACAGTATTAGTCAGTCCATAGAGAAATATTCCGCTGAAATCCATAATTTCTTTTCGCAAAAAATTCAAGTGCGTCATGTGTCATCTGTATAATAAATAATCATGTTGATTCAGGTAATGAGTTTAAATGTTCCATTGTTCATGGAATGGAGTAAGGACGAATTTGTCCAGAAGCATGCGTATCATATGCCTACTCAGGGGAAGAAGAGAAAGCGCACAAGAATAAAGATAATATTATATTCAAAAGTAATAATTATATGTGATTAAGCATGAAACGAATATTGTTCACGAATTCATCTATGCAGCTATTTCATATAAACAAGTAATGTTAGAGTCGCGCTTACAGACAGTGGGGTTATGCATAATATGTCCATGCATGATATAAACTTCAAGCTACAAGGCAAAATAAAACTATCGCATGAAAATTATAAACATAAGCCACTAATAAGATCACAGGACTGACGGGCTCCAAATGCCTAGGCATATCTTGTGATCCAACATTTGCTGTGCTTGGCATGCTCCACACATATACTATATCCCTAGTTGGAATCTCTGTAGGGTCAACAGATCCCTTGTGTAGATTCAAACCCTGTGTACCACCATCATTCCAACCATAAGCTGTTCCTCCTCCAGCAACACCTTCAACTGGTGGCACGGTCACATCTTGAGGATTTCCTGCCATGAGCATCAATATTTGATGGAAAAGATGTCATTCTAAGGCAAAATATAACGATTACAAATAGAAAGATGGTCTCACATGTTACAATCATCAATTCCTCAACAAGTTGTCATAAATTCAAATGATACAAAAAACATCTAAAATGTCTGGCCTATGGACTTTCTTCCGGGAAATCATGTCATCGAACTAGATGAAGCATAGCACCCATCAAATGGACATAAGACGATGAGGTGAATGAAAGTTAGATTTTAACAGTTCTGCTCACGATCAACCCAGAGCGAAGAAAGATAAAAGGAAAAAGAGAAAGAAAGAGAGAGAGGTCATACACAGCATATGCAAATATCCAGGCCTCTATCCATGTCTCACACAATAAAGAAGAATATCTAGGCAGTTAAACTCCAAATCATTCTCAGGCATCACTCCATATTCGCAATTCACAGATCAAGTGATATCAAGTTATTTCCATAAATTATTAAAAAGGAAAAAGAAAAGCAAAAGCGTTTTCAAATGCAACTATACAGCTTATTCACGTCTCACAAATTGTGCTAACGGAACAATAATATTCTTCATAAGTTGAACTCTGAGTTAAAACTTTCTATCAAAGCCATTGGAATTATTTCCCAGACCTCATAGATTACAACTGCCATAGATCAGTTCAGCTCCTTTAAGAGCATAATACAGTAAGAAATAAAGAAAAAGGAAAACGGAATGAACAAGCGGAAAATGAAGATTAAGCACCAATGCAAGCACACGAAATAGCCGCACAAGAAACGGAAGTGGGAGTGCCGAAAAATTCGAAACTGGATAACATAAGTTGTAACTGACATTCGAATTGCCTTCCTAGCATAAAAAGAATCGGAAAGGAAGAGGAAACATAGAAACAAAGCAGGGACGTGACATAAGAATAAACTGAGATGAAAGAAACGAGAAAGTGCACACAGCATACATAACTAACCAGAATTATCCATGTCGGTAACTACAGCTACGAAGATTGTGATTTCACACAACTCGGTAGCAGAACCGGAAAGTAATTATCTCTTTTACGGTGCTGGGAGAGGTTACAGGGAGGAGGAGAAGGCGATGTAACGTAACTGCTCCAAAATTCTGCAGTATGCACTTTCCTTTCGCACTCTTTTGTGAGTGTGTGTGGTATACCTTACGTGTACGACTTCAGCGATGGAGTGAAGTTAGGGTCCAGATCCCGATCTGGCCCGAACAAGGATTTTTTTTTTTCCCCCTATGATCTTTTTTGGATACAAGGGAAGCGGGACAAGTGTGCCGGGTGTTAAATAAAAGACCATGTTTCTTTTCGCCAGGAGCTAAATAAATAATTTTATTTGTCGATTTCACCTCCCGGAGTTTCCATGTGTTGGCTCCAGAATTTGCATGCCATTAGCACAATCATGAGTCATCAACACAAATCATCGATCCCCCAAGAATCATTGAACCATCGTTATTTGTTTTTTTTTTTTGACATTTTGTTTGATCACATTGATCGCCTTCAGTTGTGTGAACACGTGCACAGTGTGTTTGCACATATTTTCCGGGCGAGCTATGCGAATTTATATAATCATAGTTGGGATATAGGAGATGAGATGCTAATCATTTTTTCACAAGTCGCTTCATTCTTCGATGCTAGCTGCAGTGCAAATTTAATTCACAGCCTACACATCCACGTCCACGGGAAGACAGGAAGCGCGGCTTTCCCAGTAACTCTACGAATATACATTACAGAAATGATACATGAAAAAAGGCATGGACCATGGAGATTCACATTCGGTCAGTGAATTAGAGAGTGTTTGATAATCCTCAAAAGCACTTTTAAAAAGATAATTCCCACCATATATTTACTTTATATATTATAAAATTATTTTTAAAATTATTGTTTAATTTCCATCAAACCCGCTTAAACTTTGTAAAACACCTCGTGTTCATGTTTTTGCACCACTTCTCTTATCTTTTTACATATATGCACTCGGGTTGTACTCTTTTTTTAATTTTATAAATGCAACTGCCATATTCGTGGTTATCTTATGAATTGTTGTTACTAATTTTCGGGAGTGACACTGACTTTATAAATGATTTGATGGTGCTCACAGACGCTCCTGTGAAAATGCAAATTCTATAAACAATGACTTCCTGAAATTCAAACTCTTATTATCTTTCTTATAAAGCAGCTTGTTGATCGTAGAAATTTTAATTGCCATATTTATGTTCATGCATAGTGTTCTAAAGCTATTCTCCTAATTATTATCAGTAGTTTGGGCGAGAAGGGCAGTAATACAAATATATTCAATCAGCAGCCTGAATCTCAAAGAAGGGCAATGCAGACTTTATATTTCACACGACCTCCATGACCACCGTCACCACCTAGTCCACCCATCTTTGATGTCCCTCCAATTCTGTTTTCAGCGTCGCCGCCTGAAAAGTGAAAACGTTCTCAGCCACAATCCTGTACCTCTACATGTTAAGAATCTCCTCTTTTCCCAACAGCTCCTTCATAATTGTGGCCAATTCTGCCTGCCCCTCTCAAGCCCTTAAATTTTGTCTTTTGACTTGTTACTATTAACTGGGTTAGCCCAACCCTTAATTACGATTATCTATCTCTTAATTTCACTAATTGCTTTAACTGGCAACCCCATCATTGACAAAATTACATCTGAACAGGAAAAAAACCCGTGCATTCATTTAAATTTTATTTTGATTCCCCCGCCTGAAAAAATAACAACTCACAATAACCAAATTCTCGTAAACTTCCAAGTCCAATCCGGGTTGCCAAGGAGATCATCGCCTAGTTAGCTCTTAAAGCCCGGGGGGAATGGAAATTTTAAAAATCACACTGCATCCTTAATATCCGAAACGGGGGAAGTTAGGTGTGCGGGGGGAGGAAAACGAAGCAGTAAAGCTTAGCTTTATTTATTTATTTATGCAACAAGCCGAAAACTGGAAAGATGGCGAGACCAAATGCCACGGTGTCGCCTCGGGATTGAAAATCAAAGGAAATGTGAGAGTCATACCAGTTAGAAGCTCATGCAGTTAACCCAAACAAGTCAACTGCGATCATTTACACCTTGATTGCTTACAAATAGACCCTCTCTTCTTTTTGGGAAACCCGGAGGAGGTTCCATGGTTGAGCCCCTGAATTTGAGCTCTGATGCTGTTCGATAGTCCGGATCAACTGAAGTAGGCCTTGAGTTGTGATCTGCTGCGCTCAGCCTGTATGAACTCTGTGCGCCACCAGGATATCTTGTAGGAGAGCCGTATCTTCTTGTCGGACCCCTGAGACCACCGCTTCTAAGTTCCATCACTTCTGTATTTCTTGAGGAGTCTACAAAGGATCTGTCTCCAGAGCCTGATACTAAGGTTGGAGCATTAGTTGTAGCCGATGTGGAGGTAAATGGGTCATCTGGCCCCCAAGAAGTAAGTGCTTCCTTCTTCTTTGCAAAAAAATGCCACGCCCCAAACAGAAACAGTATGAAGAACAATACTGGGCTAGTCCAGAATATGGTATTGAATTCCGCTTTGTATAGAGGAAGATTAGAATAATACATTCCAACATACCCACCTCCAAGGCCGATGATGACAAGCTTTTCACGGTCACTAGCGATCAAAGGTATCACTCTTCTAGAATCCGAACTCGAGGTTGGATAGTTCAAAAATGATGATCTGATCTCATCAAGACTTGTCGAGAAAAGAAACCGAGGCACACCGACCCTCACATAATGCTGAGATGAAACATTATACACGAAAACTTTTTCCGGGCTAACGACTAGCATGTACCCCTTAATAGCCTGGAAAGCCAGAGGTTCCTCCATGTCAAACTTCCTCTTGTATCTAACCCTGCATTTGAAGTTCATTACATCTCCGAGCAACAGAACATAAACCAGATCACCTTCTGAGGTAAACCCATATGCTTTAGAACGCTCTGTGGCATCAAAAACATAACTTCGAGCAAGGGAACGGTTTAACCCTTCGCATTCAGATTCTCTAACTCTCATGCCCTTCAAATCCAATGACCCCGCACCAGTTTCAGTCAAAAACAAAAGCCTTTGCTTCAAGAATGCTAGCGGCTTACTTGATGGCATGACAGAACCATGAAATGTACCATTTTCCCTGAAAACCTTAATCTTCCCACTACTATCAGTAGATAAAATGTATTTCATCCTTCCAACATAATGAACTTCCAAGATCGCTATAGGCCGTCCGACCTCCTCGCTTTCTGGTGACGCCATTTTACCAACATTTTCCATGTAAAGAGAACTCCAATCTTCTCCACTCGACCCCTCCCAAATTCGATGGATCAAGATTGCGCCATTCCTGTGTCCTGTTACGACGACACTCTCATTTTTGCGAGCAGATGTGTAGGAAACCATTGCCGTAATGGGGGAGGCCATAGAGGTGTAGAACTCCAGCAAAACATCTCCGTTTCTCAAGAATACGTAGACTCTTCCTCTCTCATCCCCAACAGCTACGTACTTACTCAGACCCTCATAGTCCCGAAATGGCAGAACATTTATACAGGTTGCATCTGAATCTAATTTCACAGTCGATACAAAATGAAACCTCTCTGACCAAAACGGAGAGTACTTCGTTACAGAAACCCCTCGAGCTCTCTCTGCATCTCGAATTTTGCCCTCATACTCCCCATCTTCAGCCTTTTTATTTGATCTTTTATTCTCATACTTTATTTCGATAGACGCTCCCTGCCCCTCCAGCGCCGATCTCTCGTCCTCGAGAACCACCTTTGAGAGATCCGGCGGCTTTGATTCTAATCTGGACACTATATCACTAAGATTTCTCACTAGCTCCTCCAGCTTGTTCAGCAAAATCTCTTGATTCGGATTATTTTTGGTTTCAGGTTCAGAAATAGCATCATGGCGTGGATGGTGGTCATGTTCGGATTGTATTGAACAAGATTCAGATTTTACAAGGACAGTAGAAGCATGTAGAGATGATAAAAAGAACAAGAAAATAAGCACAAAGAACTTGCCTTTTGAAGAACGCGCCATTGAAGAAGAAACTTGGAGGGTTATATGTCAGCGTGCAGCCATAAGTGAGGGGCACGAGTCGCTGATGTATTTGAGGGTGTAAGAAGTTGGATCTGGAATAGATAAAGAAGCTTAAATCTGTGTCAGATTTAGAGAATCTCAGGAGGGAGTTTCCGACCGTCTGGAGAGGCTTTTTACCGGTTTGACTTTGGGTCCACGAGGTAAATTAGGGCAAGCAAACGCTTTTTCCTCCCGGAATCAAAATCAGCCGAGCGATTTCCACTGTAACAAAAAGCAAATGATGTTCTAGTCAGGTCGGTTTGATTAAATATTTTATTATTTAAAATAGGAGGGGATATTTGCATGGTCTTCGCTCTTCAAGAGGCAGTCAATTCTGTGTCTCTTTCGTATTAGTTCGGTTCCTAATCATAAAATTTTATTTATAAATTACAAACATATTTTATAGTGGGACCAGAGGTAGTACTATTTCCGGTCCTAATTATAAGATCCAGTTGACTTATTTGAGGAGATTAAGGGTGTGTTTGGTATGAGGGATTTGAGAGGGAGGGGAGGGAAAGGGAGGGATTTTAATCATTTTCCCTTATTTGGCAACACACAAATTAGGAGGGGAGGGAAATTTTTTTAAAATTTCCCCTCCCCTCCCCTCCCTAACCTCCCCTCAAAATTGGGAGAATTGGAGGGAAAGGGCAATATTTTGTCATATTATGACCATTATGCCCATATTTTGTCATGTTGTAACCATTATGTTATATTTGTCATGTTATGACCATTATGCCCACACCTTAAATAAAATAAGAGCAAAATTATCCATATTAAAATGTTTTGTCCCTCCCCTCCCCTCTTTTTTTATAAATCCAAACAGATAATATTAAAATCCTTCCACTCCCCTCCCTCCCCTTCCTTCCATTAAAATCCCTCCCCTTCCCTCCTCTCATTGAGCCACATACCCTAAGGAAGTAAGTTAAGTTAGTTATTTGTAATAAATAAGTGTTGTCATTCCTAAAATATCCTTACTAATTAGTATATTGGCTAAAACTATCATATTAGAAGGATTATCTTGAAAAAATGCATAAATATGAGAGACAAAATAGATTGGGGTCTTATAATTAGGACCAAACAAAAAGTCAAATAAAGTCTTATAATAAGGACCAGAGGTAGTATTTAATACTCCCTCCGTTCCTTATTATAAGAGACAAATAACCGAAGTACGTTGATCAAAAAAACAGTAAAATTAGTTAAGAACAATAATGTCCCAAAAAGTATAATTTTTTTCAAAAATACCCCATAATAAAGAGAGAGAGAGCATGAGATAGAACAATTAAATTATTAAAAGAAAGAGAAGTAGGAGGGAGAGAGAATGTGAGTTGGAGATAATAAGTATGGGTAAAAATGTAATCAACACACAAAAGTAGAGACAACTGTAAGTGTCTCTTATATATAGGAACATGCCATAAGCATCAAATGTCTCTATAATAAGAAACGGAGGGAGTAGTGACTATGATTCCTTTTTGATAATATAGTGACTATAATTTAATTTGCCCTTAAATGTTCTTAATTGATCTCTTGATTCGTTTCATAGTAGTATTTTCACGTACTCTGCTCAGTTCGAGCCTCAGATTTTTTTCCCCGCATTGTGTCGGAGATTCAAGAACTTTCAGGGGATAAAACACCCAATTAATCAAATTGTTTTCTTGTACTTAAACTTGTACTTGACCGTGTAATGTTGTATTAAAAAATAATTTAAAAAAATGAAGAAAGAAAGATAAATTTTCAGGATTTAATAAGTATCACAGTGGTCGACTGGTCTGGTCGTATTTCTGGATTTCTTCTATTATACAACTAAATACTAGAAATTAGCCGAGAGCTCTGATCGAAGGCAAAGAATCCATAACATAGCGAAAGCCAGTGACAACACCTAAAAGAAGCATGCCACGTGGATCAACATTAGAAGATTTGAAGGGCAGCAACATCTTTGTTGCCACACCTTGCAGCTTGCCCTCACAATATGTCTCCCATAAAAAGGCAAATTATATGTTTATACATAACTTTTTTGAAAAAAAAATAGATTAGCAAATATACAAATCGGTTAATTATTACACAAAATAAAAAAATTGAAAAATCCATCGTCAAATGAGGAAGGGGGAAGGTATTCATGCAAACAACTTCAATTTAAAATTTTTCAATTTAAATGACATTTGTTCTTTTAATAGCAAAAGTTAAAAACATATATTAAACTAACAAGATACCAAAAATATGAAAATAAAATAATATTATGCATTGACCGTCCAGTTTTAACATGTACTCCTCCAATCCTAATTATAAGACCCAATTGACTTATTTGAAGAGATTAAAGAAGTAAGTTAATTAAATGGTTATTTATAATAAATAAAATTATCATTCCTAAAATATCTTTGCTAATTAAGTATATTGACTAAAACTATCATTATTAGAAGGATTATCTTTGAAAAAAATATAAATATAAGAGACAAAATGAATTGAGATCTTATAATTAAAACCAAATAAAAAGTCAAATGAAGTCTTATAATAAGGATCAAAGGAATACAATCCAAACCCTTACTCATCGCTACAACAATGAGCATTGAAACCATTTTTTCAGATAAGCTTTTGTGATACCTGAAAATTTTGCGGGGCCATCAATTCCTAACCTGGACTTCATTATTTTTGTTATTAAATGATATAAATAAACGAGATAACAATTAGGGAAAGAAACTTAATTTTAAAAACTAATCACCATTACTGAACTAAGAGAGGCACCAAATTTTAATCAACGTTTGTTTGGCACAAGAGAAGCAGAAAAAAAAAAAGAAAAAAAAATTAATGAACTCAATTTAAAAAAATAGAAAAATGAGATTAAAAACTTTAAGTTAATTTAACTTGCCCTTTTATCTTATATTTTCTTTTCATCAAAATTTTATAATTTTTTTAATTTTTTAAATCCAACGCGTTAAAAAAAAAAAAAAAAAAATCCCCTCTCCCTTCAATTTTCGCGTACCAAACATACGGTAAAAGAGCCTATAACTTCTTTTATGGCCAAATAAAAAAGACCATACTTAAACGCGAGAGGATCCTCTCCTCTTCTCACTAAACACCAAAATTTCACGGCACATCACCCTCTTCCCTCGGTCTGAATTGGCTTCTTTGCTAACTTGAATGCAGCAAATACAGATTCCGTTTGCCGAACAGTGTCATTCTGGACACGTCGCTCTGCATGCCGCGACGATTTCCTTAATATCTCCAAAAGACAAGTACCTGACTCTTGAGATGAGGAGTTCGAATTATGATATCGGTTCTGTGTATTACTCTGATACTTGGCACTAGCAGATTTTGGCGGCTGAGTCTCCTTTTGGATCTGCAAGTTAGATCGATATAATATAGCCTTATTAGTGATGGCACCGCAGTCACAAGGAATAAACGACGAAGTGAAAGAAACTGCACATTCGATTTTTGCAGTGAATAAGAGTGAGGTGACTTAAAACTTCCATAGCGGTCATGTCGTTGTCATAATTCTTAGTTTCTAACACCATATCTACGGTCTCCACACCAGACACATCTCGGATGTGGAAGGTTACCTTGAAATCCTTTTCCTTACCTTTTTCTCAAGTGTAAATACTTAAATAATTCAGTTATTAAGTTGGAGGGAGTAATAAAGAAAATTAAATAGTGAAGAACTATTTTGTTCAGACCAGTACTTATGTTCAAGTTATACAATGCGTGCAAACTTCCGATTCAGATAGTCATTACCGTATCCAACGAGTCCTCTGACACTGAGATTGAAGTCCTGCTATTGCTGTCATCTCGTCCAAAAATGAAAGAACGAGCCTTGTTTGGTCCATGCTTTTGAGAAGAGGGCAACGAATGATTGGAAGCACGATTTAGGAATGATGACTGCCACATTTACGAGATGAAAGTTCAGATATGGCATTCTAAACACAGTTCACAATACCCGCATGCCTAATAGAAAGAGAAACGGTAAACGTGGTGGCAGACAAAAATATAGATATCTGGACCCAAGTGGAAATTTTTAGATGCCTCTGCAAGGAAAATCAGCAGGCCATTAAGAATCAGTAAAGACTCTTCTGATCTTGTAGATCAAGGGGCCCTATTTGTACCATATAGTTAGTGACAACTATTACTTTCTCATAGCTGGCATAGAAGAAGTAGCAATTCATTTTCAAACATCATGGGATTAAAACAAGCTCACCTTGGATAATACGTTGATGTTTTGTCCAATGAGCGGAGTATCAAAGAACGCTGCAGGGTACAGGAGGAACAATCAGTATCTTACAAAATCTAGCGGCCCAATTTTGGTGAAATTATTAGCATCTTACAGGGTGTCCTGCCTTTCCTCTTGGTGTCAGGCACAGTATTCAGTTTCTTTATAAGACTGAAAACTTCCCGGCTACTTTCATCCTCAGCCGGTGACAAGAACGCAGTTTGCTCCTCCTGTTCCATAGTACACATGACCAATTAAAGTTTATACAAATAATAAAACATAAGTACTCAGCGTATGCAGAGATTTAAATGTGTTAGACCCCATAATAAGGTCAACATTTGCTATAAATTTAAAAAAAAAAAAAAAAACAGTTATACGGCTACAGTAGACCCCTGCAAGGTTGCAGAGAAGTATGAACTCACAATTTTGGCAGATAAGCACCGTTTAGGCAGCATCTTCTGTGTTTCCTCGTCATCGGATGATACATATGCGTCATCTTTATCTGAAAACATCTGAGGAATCATCTGCCTCACTTTTTCCAGATTGATTCGGGCTGCATTTGCTGGGCAACATATTCTTCATCTTCTGATTCGTTTCCAGTTTCATTGCTTTCCTCATCGTCTTCCTCACCAATTGATGTCGTGTCCCTCAATTTTGAACCGCAATTAAGTTTCTGCGAGTAGATTATCCATTCCAGCTGCGTCCTGTTTCTCCAGCCACTGCTGGTGAAGTTGGTCACGCCTTTCCTTATCAATTAGATTTTCTTCATATCCAGATGCTATCATATTATTAAGCTCCTCAGCATCATCTTCATCGTCGTCATCCTCATCTTCTTGGAAGCGCACAAGGTCATTGTCACTATTATCCTCCTCTTCTGCTTCTTTCATCAACGAAAGCCTTCACAGGGTCACCACTTGGTGGTGAAGAGTCGGCTGATCGATGTGGATGTGGATCTATATTTCCTTTTCATTGTCCTCTTCATCAGAAGAGCTGAAACAAAACAGGAGAGCTTGTCATATTAAACTCCCAGAATAAGGAAAAGCGATAGTAGCTCTTTAATTACAGCAAGTTCAACGGTCATAACATAATATGTCAAAATATGGATACGCTAGTCATCATTGCAATGTTAAACCACTGCTGTTGTGCATCATTGCAAAAATTTTCTAACAAATTCCCACCTATACTAATCTAATCTGCAAATAAACCCATATATCATGAAGTAGCAACTATTAAACTAACATGTCCCATGCTTTTAAAAAAAAAAACGCAATACCAATATCCAAGCAAATGGCGTTCAGAAAATTATATAAAATTCTAATGTAATTAATTGTCGGCAGCACTCAATTCAAAGACCACAAAGGAGAAAGAAACTTTTAAGCACTCACACATCATCAGGAGGTGCAGAATCGAGTTGCAAGTTCATTGAAGGGATTGGTGGTTTAATAACTTCTGAAGGGCTAGCAGGCTTCTCGTTCAATGCCTCGCATGTGGTGTCACTTCTTGAGGAATCAGAATAGAGCTCCTGGACATTGCAGACAGACAGACAATCAGTGTGCAAAATCTAATACTAGAAGGAAGCATCTTCTCAAACAGCTGACATAAAAACCTGAGTATCATTAATAGGAGCTCGAAACACATTGTCAGCTTCGGAATCCATGACCTGAGATTCAATGGGGACATTAGTACAGTCAGACTGCAAGAACGATAACTAGATATATTCCCAAAATAGACAAAAGACTTAAACATTCGAATGACAGTATTCACTATATATCTTATGCATGCACGTGACTGCTGAAGAAGTTTAAATATTTAACAGCACTCCATTCTTAAGACCATGGCAAGGTCCATTAGTTCCTAACATATTCGGTTGTATTAGATGAGCATGAACACTAACCATCGGACAACGAATGCCTTCGGTTTCACAAATAAAGAATTTGTAGCAGCGCCTGACCCCCTGAGTGTGATGGGTCTAAATTATTCGTCGTGTCCGCAGGACTGGTAAATATTTCTTGGCGTTCACTATGTTCAACCTTATCAGCTATGTCATCCCCAAGACAAGCACGCCGAGATCCATCATCCACTTGGACATCCCTTGCGAATTCATCATCATTATCATCAATAGTAGAAATGGATCTGCAACTAACATATGCATGAGCACAGTGCCTAATGTAAAAGACAACGAAAGCCCGAACTAAAACAGAATTCTAACATAATCCACCTACTTTTTTAAAAGCTCCATTTTCCGCTGCCGAATTTTATCCAATAGGGATGAAATGGGCTTGTGAACACGGGCAATAGGTTAAAAGCTGCATCCCGACTTTCTAGAGAAGTAATGAGGCAATATAGAGGTAGTAGAAACTTCAAAACAAGTTAGATTACCCTAGCTAACA